GCATGTCTCAGCAAATACAGCGAGAGTTTGCCTGAAATCCCAGTTACCAAGGGCTGCTCATCAGCCCCTCTGCTCACCCCCTGCAGGTAGATACTGAAACTTCATACGGAGAACACTCACACCCAGGTCCCCCTCTGAAGCCTGCAAAGACACTACTGTCTTAATTTGCTAGCTAAACAATTAAGAACTTCCCCACAAAGAATTTGGAGGTTTGTATTATAATATATTAATACAACCTGGTTTTGAAAGGGTTGAGATAGAAATGAGCATTGTCTGGGAAAAACATCATATTGAATTTGTACATATCTGTAGCACAGCAAATGCATAATCTACATTTAAGCAAAAGGTCTGTGCACTAGAAGAATTTCCTTTAGTCCAGATTTATCACATTTATGTATGAATCACACTTTTACGGAGTTGTTTGAGAATCAGCTTTCGGTAAACTAACTTGTATTTGAAATTCACTTCGAATGTGTGCTCTTTAAGGGGTGCTCTCCTACAAAGCCACCCCTCCAATCCTTGTGAAATATAAAAATACTTCCAAACTTCTATGGTTTGTATCTCAGATTTTACTGGTTTTATGAAACCTGACCCTTTCAGAGTTTGATCCACCAGAATCCCGAATTCTGGAAGCTGTATTGAAATGAATCAAACAAGAAAATGCTCATTTTAGGTGATGGTGAATGTCACTCTAACTGCCAAGACCAGGGCTCCCGACTGAGAAACAACAGCAGCAAAAAATACAGCGACAACAAAAATCAAACAAAATCCATGAGGAAGAGTAAAACAAATTGTTTGATTAACCGAGATAGGAACTTCACAGATAATATCTCCTGTCCCTCTTTCTGTTTCATACCAAAAACAACAGGACTCCGGTTTAGAAAAGCCATGGCTAGATCAAGGCAAATAGGCTGATCATCAATTATCATCATGTAAATTAGGCACTTGAGGGGAGCTGGCTTCACTTACTTAGGCAATCACTTTATGACGGGTTTAGGACTGTGATTCGCATCCCTGGCTGCACATTAAAATCACCTGGGGACCTTTTGAAACGCGCTGATGCCTGGACCCATCCCAGAATCAGAACTGCAGGGGGATGGGGCCGGGGCGATGGGAATGTTGTTAAAGTTCCCCAGGTGATTCTAATGTGCAGTCAGGGCTGAGAACCACTGATTTAGGAAATCACCACTTGAAATCGGGTTTAAGTAGCATAGCCACAATGCTGTCCCCTGTGGGGCAGTATTTCTCCAAAAAGTGGGTTGTAGGCCATCTAGGCTGCTTGTTAAAAGTACAGATTGCTGGCACCCTGCACTCCCCACCCCTCAATCTGCACTTTGAACACACTCTCTGAGCAATCCTGCTGTGCTGGGACACTGGGGGCCACTATCTTTACGGCATTCAATACTGAGGTATTGCTGGAAACTTCGATGGTGCCTGTTGTTAGTACCACATGGTTTTTGCCCAGCTTCAAACATGCCAGAAACCAAGCTGGTTATATGACTTGTTGTGATGAAGTGACATTTGCTGGTCTTCCCCCTCCAAGGTCTCCTGTAGTGAGTGGGTTTTCCCCGACCTCAGTGAGAATCCCTTTCCTGCAGATATAGCGATGGGGGGGGGGGGGTTCATTTAGACAAGGGAAAGCAGTCTTGTTCTTCCCACATAATTAAATGTTGGCAGCTGCCTTCAATGACTTAAACACAGAAGTGAAAGGGCCACACAAGGCCACGTAGGCCAGTGGTTGGCAGTGGCCCCAGACACAGAGCACATGTGTGGATGGCCACCTACCCAGCTACAGATCATCAGCACCCTTCTGATTAACAGGCCCACATCTCCGGGAGGTTTTGTAGTTCATTGTTTTTCTTCCCTATCAATACATGGATTACCTCAAAATTACAATCCTGTGCAGAGGGTCAACTCACTGACAGATGCTGGGTGGACCAAAGCATCGAGGATGATGAAGGTATTTCTGTTAGGTAGAAAGGTAGACATGAGCAGCGAGGGAAGGGAAAGATAAGGTTCAAGGAAAAAATGCCCAGTGAGGGGGTCATTTGAAGGCGACAAAGTCTTTGCAGGGAAATTAATTTCCCTAGCCAAAGGGACCAGGCCAAACTGGTCTCAACCAGATCCAAATGCAGGTGCAATAGAGCAAAACTAAGAACCACCCAAAGCACAGCTCACATTAAAATCAAACTTTGGTTTTGCTCCCTCCCCCCACCCTCATGGGCTTTTCTGTGCTGTTTTGGGAAAAGACTTTCCCCACTAAGAAAAATGGGTGTATAACTAGGACTGTCCATCAAATGACCTCACCCTGTCAAGCAAAGCAGTCCTGCCTGCTAGGACAGGATAAATAGACCCTCCCCTAAAAGTCTGGGGCCTTTGTCTACCTTGACTCTAGCCAATCCTCCCTTAGAGCATATTCAAACAAAACTTCCACTCTGCTTCGCTATTGTGTCTCTGCCTTTCAAATCTTTGTTGTGGCAGGGACAGGAACTGAAGACAAATATGACCAGTAACATTTTCTGAAAGGCAACTCGCAGATGAAGCAACCCCCAGACAGGTTTGAGAGCAATGCAGATTCATCTCAAAGACAAAATGTCCTTTTGTTAAAGGGAAACCAATTCTTTTAGCACATTACTTCCTAAATGACTTCTGTAAGAATACTGAGGGTCTACACAGACTCGGAATTTATACAGGCAAAATAAAACCAATATTTTAGCTCATTTATTTTAGCATTTAATCTATATTTTTCAAAATATTTCCTGTAGCAACTGGGTTTTTGGGCAAACAGGCTAGATTTATACCCCCTTCTCTTTATCCTTCTCATGTTGGAACAACATAGGATTAGCCAGTAAATGTAAATTTGAGATCAGTTGGTTATGAAAACGGAATTAAACACTCTCATTGGGGTGGAATGATTATGCAGGATGAGCATGAGACCAAGCTGATAGTAACAATAAGAGACACAGCATAGACTGAGGTCTTTCTCTAGCCTCCTTCCTAAAATGCAGATCCCTTAGTTCCTGGTTGTCTTTAGGACTGGTGAGAACGTAGATTTTACCATTCCTTAAGAAACCGAGATGAGACTTCTACAGATCATGTGGCCAATTATTTAACCTAACAACACAACCTGATGCCAAAGAAGCTATAAGCACTGGTTTGCTTTCAGCATCTGTGGATCATTCAGTTTCATCTCATTAAAGGCCAAATTCTTTTCATGCTGATTCCATCCAGCTCTTTCACAAAGGTGTGTTTTTATCCATAAGGGAGAACAGATAATTGAGAATAGAGGGTTTCATAACTTGACATTTTTCAGTAAAGCTAATGAGAAAAGAACAAAAGGATAGCCACACAGGTTCTCGCTGTTTTGAACAGTATTCTGTTCCCAACTGTGGCATCAATCGGTATTTTGTTTTCCAAGACAAAAATCACAATCCTTACCCAGAACCCTTGGGGCCTGATGTGTTTTGAAATAATTTTATTTTATTTTTCAAATTTTGGAAATGTAATACAATACATAGACTGCATGCTCTGTAATATCCCCAGAATGGTCTTGTAATAAAACACAATATTTCTCCAGCAAAACATATAAATATTCACATTAAATGGAATAAATAAATGCTGTAAATAGTCTCAAGTTTGTTTAGATTAGGTTGTGCTGCCAAATGAGATGTGCCAAACCTTAGAAAAAAGCTTGTTTTTAAGAAATTTTTAGATTTGGAATTGCAAACAAAGGATTATAGATTTATATCTGTGTATTTTTCCAAATCATTCAAGAATCTGTATTTTCAGTTCTTATTAACTTCGTTCAGCAATTTGCCCCATAATTATTGGCTGAAAACACACTCTTTCTGCACTTGAATGTTACATCTAACCAGTGTACTCACTGATTTGCTCACCATATTCCTGGGGACTTAGTGATTTTGTTATTTCTGGTTCTGGGAAGCTTTTCAAGGCTCAGTTTCCTGTTTCAGAAAATTGCACTTGCATTGTGCCTGGCACTGAGTGCTTGCATCAGTCAGCAAGCGTCCTTTGCAAGCAAGAGAATCTGCCTCTGACTAAGGCAAAAAGGTATCTATTAGAAATATAGGGAGTTAAATAGGATATAGGGAGAACAGTTAAAGAACCATGCTTGGAAATAGCAGTGATAAGAAACACTTGTGCATTGAGGTTAAGGAGACTTTTTCAGGATTTCCCACCTCCACCTTTTAAAATTCTGAGTCACTCTGCTGAAGATCAAGCCCCAGGCAGTCTGAGAGCTGCACTTCACTCAGGTGCCCACCACTTGGCTAGGAGACAGCCTGACATGTTGATTGACATTCTCACCACTTCTGAATAAGGGGTGGGGGAATCATTTCCCACTGGAAATAGGGTTGCTGTGACAAGAAGAATGCAAATGTGCTCTGATAGAGCAAAACAAACCTGAAAGAAGTTCTCTACAGATTTCAAAATACTTTCAGAAAATTTTCTTAATTCTTGGCTTTTTAGGGATATGCAAAGTCCTATTATTTAGGTTGCCCTCATGCAGAACTTACTTCATCCTTATGCACGGATTAGTTGTTATCTTCTAAACTTTTCTTAACACCCCCTATCTTTTTGAGCATAGGGGCTGGGATGCTTATCATTAGATTTTATTTTGTCTTGGTACAAGTAATGAATTATTTTCAAAGAGTTCTTTTAACAAGGTATATCACCTTCCAAAACAACACTGACAGAGAGAAACTTAGTGGTTAGAAACCACTTCATTAAAGAAATGCAAATACTTTGTCTGAAATTTACATAGGAGTAACAAACATACATCACATGGACCGAGAACCAAGGAAATGAAGAAAGCAAATGAATATGGTCTTTCCTCCCTCATTTACTACCTAAAACCTTTTAAAGGATATTATTAAATTCCTCAAGCCCCATGTTTCCTTAAGAGGCTTTTCAAATTGCAAGCCATTTTTACAGGCAGGTGCTGATAATCTCAGAGTGAATTGTGGATACTATGCGTTTCTTACCTGATAGTCATACGCTGTGAAAGGCAATAGTTCGAAATCTGTAAAAGAGCTTGAGCTTCCATTATAAATTAGCACTGGACTTGATTTTCCAGGCTGGGTTGCTATTTGTCTTCTGTACAATTCATAATATAAAACTCTTCCATTTGGCTGAAGCGGTCCTGACCACGAAAGGGAAACTGTGGGCTGGTGTCCCCCCGGAGCCCTCTGCACCTCTAGGTGAGGAGGAGGTTGCATCAGGGGTGCTATCTCAGGGGTCTGCGTGGTGGTCCAGTCACTTGATGCACATCCCAGCAAGGTGCAGGCTTGAATTCGTGCTTCATACCTTTGGGACACAAGGCAGAAATTACCTATTATTGGCAAAATAGATTTTCCTGGGAAGAACCTTTAAAAGACCAGTGTTCCCTGAGAAAAAGACAAAGTTAACATTACTCTTATCTGTGGCTAACCCTTTTAAAGAACAACAAAGTCATTTTTCCATGGATATTTCAGAACATCTTGTATCTTTCTGGCTTTCCAAAGCAAAGCAAAGATCCTGTCTGGAGAGAGTGGGCACAATCCTTCTCTGAACAGGAGTATATGGGATAAACACAATTTCAAGAGTCTCTCCAGCATGAAAATTCTGAAACTTTGCAGAATTACTTAACCCAGGGATTGAGAGAGCAGATCTTGGGGAGTATGAATAAGTCTCAGCAGCCCTGGGCTCCTCTACCTGTGCAGGGAGAGCTAAGTGATTCCTCAGGAATGTTTTCCAGGTGATGAAGGAACATCATGGAGTTAAGGCCTCAGTGGTAATAAATCCCCTCCCCTGTTACCTGACATCTTAAAACAGGCTCTCTTACAACAAACAAAGACCTGTTGGGGCCAAAGTTAACCCAGCTATTCACTAGATTATCAATCACAGAGACATCTTATCACCATCCAGTTAAATTCAGCCAATCAATTATGTTTTGCCTCATACCTGGTCTCCTGCCACTTGGAAAAGTCTATTTACATAGCAGGGACTTTTCCCTTCCAACAAAAGGGGCTTTTGTTTAGTGTTAAGTGCCTGTGGCTGCAAATGAATCTTTTTTTTCTCCTGTTCCCATGCCCTGCTGATTTTATAACACTTCTGATTTTCCCTGAAGCTCCAGCCATCTTTCTTGCTCCCTTTTTTTTCTTTTTGGTTCCAGCCTTTTCCTGTTCTATTTTCTGCATTCCCTTGTCTAATCTCTGCTTTCTGTCTTTCCACTTGCTTTCTTTCTGCTTCCCCTGCCCCGTTCTTAATGACACTTCTTTCTCCCTTCATGGCATCTCTTATTCCCCTTTCTGCTCCTGGCTCCCTCCCTGTCCTCTCCTGCCCATCTCTACCACGAGGGACAAGTCCAGTGTTCTAATGAACACATCCATAGCTATGGATGGCAGGTCTCACTCACTTCTAAGCAATTCTATGAAGTCAATTTCAATTTTCCACATAATGGATTATCTGTTTTCTGGATTATCTGTGGTATTTCTGGATCCGAGTCCATCTGCTCCGTAGGGTATTGCCAGCCTCCTTCTGCCTACAGATCAGCTGGGGTTACCCCAAGGAGCTCACACTAGTTTGCAGTATTCAGTAAACATTAATCTGCTGGAATAACTCCAAACTACATGAGCTCCAGCTTCATACAGAAGTGATATTCTAAATCACTAATGACACTTACATCTTTACTGTGAACAATGAATAGACATCTCTTATTGCCTTAAAAGCATTTCCAGGTTTATCAGATACAGCAAACATTTTTTTTTAAATTTTCCCAGCCTAGGAAAAATGCCTCTCTCACATTTGGAAACCTTTTCCCTCCCTTATAATCTTTTTGAGTAAGAGTTTCAAAGGCGAGCAAGTTGATATGATTTTTAAAACTTGTAGGTGCTAGTCAGGTAAAGAGAAATCCAGTATGAAATGTACAGCTCTGCAGATAACATAAGACCTTTTTTTATGCCCTGAATCAGAGTAAGATAAAAGCCAACTCACAGAGCATGTGGGTTAGCTATGGAAAATACCTGCAGAAGTTTTAATTATTGTTTAATATTTAATATGACCCTAAAAAAATTGTCATGAGTAGATGCATAGGACTGTGTTTCATTTAAACAGCACTATATATCAGAGATAATTATAGGAGAGATCTAATCTACACACCAGTAGATTACACTAATAGCTGAATTTTACTAATGGTGGTTGGAAATCAACACTCCTTCAGCCTTTAATTTTTTTAAGTGGTTCTGTTCATTTTACTAAATTTTAAACATAAAATGCCTTTTATTACTCTTCTCTCTGGGGATGTAAGTTACTTAAAATGTGATGGGGAAAAATGCCAAGCAATTCTTTAAGCTATGGGAAGAGGGCTTGTGGTAAGGTTCCTTCATGGAGAGAGTGCCACGCATCCATGTATGTCAGATAGCCCAGAGGGGACCGCTGAGAAAACCTGAGCTGGCAAAGTTCCACTGTCCTGAGAAACCATGAGATCAGAGCTGGGGGAACTAAGACGTTAAGAAAATAGTCAGAGGAGCCTCATTATCCCTGAAAGAACCTCTGGATTCAAAGAAAGGACTCTCCCCAGAACAAATTTTGGATCAGTTCAGCTGGCTGGTTAATAGCTCTCAATCACTGGCACTTTTTCCATACTTTAAAATAATACCTCATTTTCTTCATAGCCTGGATCAGATACCCCACTGGGGCTCTCAGAACTGTCCAGGGACCTGCATGTTTCTAGGAGGGACTACCCTCAGGGAAATAGCCCCCACTCTGTGCTACTTGTTCTAGATATCATAGAGAATTGCAAACATTTCCAAAAAGCTGACTCTTGCAAGAATTTCTGGAAAATGTCACCTACAAGAATTTCCCTCCATAATTATGAAAGGAGGTTTTGGCTGGATATGGATGTGGGTAGAGTTGAGCACATCACATATCTTGCTATTAGAGCCTTCATTCCAACTAGTGGAAGGCTCAAGCCATAGAAAGGACAACGGTTTGTTCTCAGCAAAGTCAGTCATCTGCCTACCTGTGAAAGGGCTTCAGCTGGCTCACGGTGAATGTCTGCATACCAAAAGAACTGTGGGTTGTGTTTATGTGCAGGATTTTTGTTTCTCTTTCAAACAGCTCACGGATGAAGAGGGTATAGTTGACAATATCGCCATTCGTCCTCACTGGAGAGTCCCAGTTCACTAAGATCTCCTGAGGGCCCCTGGCCTGCAGTTTTGGGGGTTCCATTCCTGAAGGTGCTGAGGGGCTGGTTCTATCTTTGACAAGTGGACTCAAAACACCCCCTTGGCTGTTGTTGGCAGTCACCGTGTAGCCGTACTCCACACCTGGGGTGAGAGTGAAATCACGATAGCGAGTTTCCAGGCCAGCATATATCATGATTCCATCCCTCCTAAGTTCATAACTTGTGATCTGACCATTTGGAGTTCTTGGAGGTTCCCAGGTGATTTCTATGGATTCTGAGCCTGTGACTTGCAGCTTTGGGGCGTCCATGTTTTGGGGAGGGGCTTCCATCGTCCACGCGGATTTCGGTGCACTAGCTGTACATCCTCCACTCGTGCAGGCCACTAGGGAGAAATTATACTGAGTATAAGGCTGCAGGTGGGCAACCGCCAGGCACAGACTCTGCCCAGCAAGGTGCTCCTTCCCATCAAACCTAAGGAGATAGTTAGTGATCTTCCCATTTGGAATTGATGGTGGTGACCAGGATACATTTATTTGAGTAGCACTGACGGCCCCAAGGTCTGGGGGGCTGACACCGGCTGGAGGGGCCTCGGGAGTTGTGGTGTCTGTGGGCTTGCTGGTGGAGCAGCCTCCGCTGGTGCAGGCTGTGACCGCGTAACTGTACGCGGAGTAAGGAAGCACGGCTGCGTCGGTATAGCTGAGAGTGACAGCATCGAAGCTGAAGGGATAGGGCGTGCCGTTCCTTTGAAGCCTGTAGGACTGGATGACACCATTCGACTCCTCTGGTGGGACCCAGGAAATCAGCAGTTTGGGCGGATTCATAGACACACAGGCTATCTCCGGTGGAGAGAGGCCTTCTGGAGGTGCCTGCCTCGTCCTTACCATATTCCAGGAACTACAGGTACGGCCTGCTGAATTCCAAGAGAGGACTTTGTATTCACACTGCGCCCATGGCCATAAACCTGTGTCGTTATACGTAAATGTATTCCTTTCAGTGTTATATTCTGTGAAAACAATTTTCTCATGGGCCTGGATTGTCTGATTCCCCCAAGCTTTTCCCCCAAAGCATCTGCGAACCACTTCATAGCGAATTATCTTTCCATTTGGGTTAACAGGCTCAGACCAGCTCAGCTCAACGCTGGTGGACCCCACGGACTGGACTGTAGGAGCCAACTGAGAGTGGGGAGGGGCTTCGTCCGTCCGCAGAGGCTGGGGCGCTGAGTGTGCGCAGCCTGCCCTGGTGCAGGCCTCCAGGACCAGTGTGTAGAGAGTGAAGGGTTCCAGGCGTCGGAAGAGAAACCGGCGACCCAAGCCTGTGTACTCCCGGACGCCGTCACTGAAGACGTTGTATGTCTGCAGGGGGAAGAGACGCAAAGGGAAAATAATCGTAGCATGTGATTTCTTGGTGTGGCTATTTTGTCCCTTTTAAACTTACCCCCCTCCTATTCATCCTAATACAGAGCAAGCAGTCTGATTAATTTGGGGAATGTGATCTTTTCCAGGTAAAGTCCACAGAAAGAACAATGGTTTTCTTTGCCTTTTTTTTTTAATGTTGCTATCATGGAAACATATTTCTGAAAGCTAAGGGCTATTGAAGCCTGATTCTTTGACTTAAAGAGTGCTCATTTGGTTTCCTCTAGTTTTTATTTTTTTTAAATAGGGAATAATACTCAAATCCGTGTTTTATAGATACTAAACACTTCTAATTGCATCCTGAGTAGGGTATGTAGGGCATATTTACATTGTCTATCTCTCAGAGCATTTGCTGGGAAATGGAATTATAAAACTTAATCATTTGTACCAGGGTGCCGGAGCTGAAACTGTGTGCGTATCTGTGTGTAGGTGCACACACATACACACATATACGTTATACACATATACAGAAATAAAGATACAAACTTGATGGTAGAAGATGGGGAAAAGCACTTTGGTTTTTCATGCAAGCCTTGGAAAAATTGATTTCTCCTTTGGAGCAAAGTGTTCTTTTGTTTTGGGGAAAACCATCTGACACACCCATCGTCTAAATGTAGAGCAAGTTTTCAACCCACACTATTCATTGTTCTTTGGAAAAGATGGGTAGGAACTTAACCTGAATGTAGATGTTTTTGAATAGTGGTTTTCTATCCTGTTCTGCTCCAGCGTGCCTGAGAGATGTGACATTTTCGTAGAGGGTAGTGACTCCCTGCAGTGACGTCTCTCAAGAGGGGTTCAGACACAGAACCAAATCCCTTGGGAGGTGCATGAAATTTGAAACATTCCCACAAGGGGTTCCTAGGGAAGCTTAACTTAGGATTGTTGATATACTTTAATGTTATTTAAGATTAAATGGCCTAGGCTTTGGGAAATCTATTTATGTTGGACTAGTGTATTGTGGTGTGGTATTCTTGTTGGGGTACCAGGGCAAGACCATACCCTTGAGAAAAGGAGAATGAAGAATATTCTGAAGATAGCTTAGATTCCATCAGTATGAAAATCTCTGTGACTCTCTGGCCCCCCTCATAGCCACCTGGAAAATCTCCAACTCTCCACTAGTGTTCTATTTACCTCTCCTTGTGTACCTTAGCTGCTAACTGCATTTGGAGAAAAACAATCAAATATGCTGACTGGTCTCACTTTGAGTTTCCGACCATACATTTTGAACAGGTGATTACCAACTTTCCATCCTATTCCATCTTCCCATCTGTTTGCTCTCTCATTTTCCAAAGTGAATATTTCCTATCTTCTCCTTTCCCCGCTAACTGCCAACTCTCTCTTCCTTCCCCGGCAGGCAGTTGTTGACAGAACCACATATTTGATTGAGGAAATAGAAGCAGGCAGAAAGGAATGTTCTCATGTTATTTATCATCACTGCCATCTCTGCGTGAATCTGGACTTACCTGTTGGTCTTCCTTCCTGTTTGCAGTGGGTGAAGGATCTCTACCCCTGTGGAAGCCCATCTGAGCTCTGGGTCCCACTCCTTCGTCCTTCCTACAGATTTTGCTCCTGCAATTATTCTCACTATCTCCTGCATCACCAGTTTATTTCCCTTTACTGGCATGCTTCCATCAGTGTTGCAGTACACTTTACTATCCTTCACTGATTTCTAAATAAAACTTCTTGATGCCCTAGTGACTGCCCCATTTTTCTGCATTTATTTTCACTTACTCTCCAAAGAGGTGCTCTTTTCATTCCCTCACTTGCCATTCTCTCAAGCCATCCAACCAGGTTTCCCGTTCACCACTTCATCTATTCCCTCAATAGCTGGTCTCCTCCAGGCCCATGGGTTTAAATATCACCCATCTACTAATAATTTCCAAATACATATATATATCGTAGTGAAGGACTCTCGGGAGAGCTCTGGACTTGTACCCCCAACTGTCTGCTTGTCTTCTCAAACCTACACGTCTTACAAGCTTACCTTCCCAGTCAACGGCTCACACTCTAAATCCAGGAGTCATTCTGAAGCATCGCTTTTCCTTCATGTGTTACATCCAGTCTGTTAACAAATCTCATCACCTTGACCTTCTGAATATATCATCAATCCACCTGTATTTCTCTACCTTCACGAATTCCATTCCAATTTAAGCAACCACCAATTCTACCTGAATTATTTCATAGCCTCTAAACTCTACCAGACTTCTCATAGTCCATTTTCTACATAGCAGCCAGAGTGATTTTGAAAAGCATAAATGTGTTTATGCTATTTCTCTGCCTAAACCCTTCAATATCTTTTCATTGCATTTAGAATATATTCCAAACTCCTTATCATTGCCCACAAGGTTGGGCACAATCTGCCTCCTCCTAATCCCTCCAGTCTCATTTAGTGTCATCTTTCTCTCCCTCCCAGTGCTTCACCCACACTGGATTTCTTCCCTTCATTTGAATATACCAAGTTCATTCCTGGCTTCAGGCCTTGCATTAGCTGTTCACTTTGTCTGAAACATTTTGCTCTCGTATCTTCACATGAGTGACTCTGTCTTGTCATTCAGGACTCAGATCAAATGTCAACTCAATTCAAATGATCATCCATTCTAAACTAGCCTGATAAGGCATAATGACATTACTCTGTTTTCTTTACAGCATTCATCACTCTCTGAAATTTCCTTGTTTGTTTGTGTGCTGGCTTTTCGTTGCATCTTATACCCACCCCCCTTCATCTATCACAAACACATGTAAGGTCAGGGACAGAAGAGATCCTGCTGTCTTGTTCTCTCCCAAATAAAATGCCTGGCACTTAATAGAAACTCAACAAATACTTGGTGAAATGAAAATGAAGGTGAAAGGGGTAGATATTGTTGCTGTAGATCATGCTGGGAAGACACAGATGCTGGGACAGGAAACAAACCCTCACAAAGAAGAGTGCTTTGATGGGTGTGAGGCGAGAGACTCATTCCTCTAATGGGAACCTTCAGGCTGTGGCTTGGATTTTAAGGCTGTGGACTATGGGTGAAGCCTCCTGTCCCAGAGCAGGGAAAGTCTGGCCCTGCTACATGTAGGGAGATTGGCAGAAGCACCTCACTTCTGCTACTTGTAGCAGGCCTGGAGCGAGGAGGCTGAGAGTGAGAGACAGTCACCATACCCAAGCAGCGAGGCAGCCTATAAGAAGACCCAAAGGTTGGACCTGTAAGCTTGAGTTAAAGTTCTAAGTCGATGTTTTAGGCAATTTCCTGCTGTCATCCCCCTCATAGGATTTTCAGGGAATTTTTTTGCAAAGTCACAACTTAGATACAACTCTTCCATATGGAACTAATGCAGGAGTCTTTGCCACCATGTGAGGGAGTGGTTGGGGAGAGGCAGAGAGCCCAGAGCAGCTGCAGGCTGGAGATTCTGCAGTCCTGGCCCACAGAAGGCAGCTGATGGGGACCCAGGTGCTTGGGGCCGGAGGGGTCTGGAGGCAGAGCAGTGACAGACTGACAGGTGAGTTGTTACCACCTTTGGGGAAGAATATCAGAAAGACAGATGAGGCCGACTTTCACGTGGGTAATGGTTCAAAGGGGCAAAATGAGAGTAGATGCCCAAAAGCATCAGACAAAGTTATGTGTATGGGAATTTTCCTTAACTTGCGGGCATCCCAATATCATTTTGAATAAAACCTAAAACAAGGTGGCAAAGTCAAACTGAATAATAATGGAAATGCCAGCTCATCTGTGCCCACAGGATGGCGAAGCCTGGGATACATGTATGGCATTGGTAAGACTCTTCCCCATGGCTCTGTACAGAGGTCGAGGAGTAAGCGGACATGCAATGCTTCTTACTTTCTGCTTAGAAAGCTCTGTTCAAAGCATAAATTAGGCAAAACTTGTGCTATTAACTGGTCAGGATCATTCAAGAGGCAGTAAGAGTTTAGTTCCGGTGTGACTTCCTGACTTCAAATCCCAACATGACGCTTTGCGATGTGGGCTTGGACAGTTATTCAGGCTTTATACGCCACATGCGGTTTGGTGTACCACCTAGTAGGGTTGATGTGAAGATTAAATGAGATAATCCATGGAGAGCACTTTGCCCAGTGTTGGGTCCATGGGAAGCATTAGCACATGTGAGCCAGTTTTCTCTGATCTATGATTAAGTGCCTGGAGGAGCTATCAAGGATAATTAAACAGGCTGTGAAGGGTGTTTTCCCACAGTGACCTGATGGCATGTCAGGGATCATCTATTTATCTGGAGACCACCAAGCATGATTTCATAGTCCGGGTAGACATTACCTTGATCACACCATTGGTTCTCACTGGCTCTGACCACTGTAGTAACAATGCCCGGCCTTTCTCTTTCTGTTCTACTGTGAAGTTGCTCAGTCCACTTGGGGAAGATTCTGGGGTGTGAACTAGAGTCCAGGGGCTTGAAACTTCTCCTGCTTGGTTTGTGGCCACAACACCAATGTGATACCTTGTGAATGGTTCTAAACCAAACAGGTGGGCTTGATGGCTTGTTCCCTGTAAGAAGATTAACAGGTTAGTTTTCTTTTACAAACTGCTAATGATTGTTGGAAGGTCATTTTCTGACCACGGTACATCAGCAGGGGCAGCACAAATATCACGGCAGAGTTTTGAATTATTAAGAAAGCAACGTGGTGATTTTTTTCTTACTCTTGACATCCTAAATATATTGCTTAATGTTGTGTGATTTCAGACATGCACAAAGTGTGGATCAGCCCAGATTTTTACCTTTTCAGAGCTTATAACCCAAAGGATGTCATATATAACATGAAAAAATCTGCAATACCTCAAGTTGGTGCTGCATCTGGCTCGCGATGGAAATCAGTGGCACCAAGTGCGTGACAGAGGATGGGACACATTTAAGGACTTGGCGATTTAACCTGAACGATCCTAATTCTCTTTCATTAACCCCCAGTACTAATTGTTTATACATAAGACTCTCCCTACCTCCCCCTTTCATTCTCTTGGTGTGTATTTATATCTCACAAATGCAATAAAACAAACGCAGAAGAACAGTAATAACAAGCCAACTGAACTTTAAATGCACAAACATGCTAGAGAAGTCTCCTCTTAATGTAATGTGAAAATATTCTCAGGTGGTAAAAACTCTGTAACAAAAACTATGGAACTAACCCAAAGTAATTATTAGTGACGCTTTGAGAATTTGGTCTTTCTTGGTTTAAAAGAAAAAAAAAACAAAAACAAAGGAGAGCAGAATTAGTTTTTTTCCTGCTTGGAGAGAAACATCGAACATATTTTGCATAACCAAACTGGAGCTAAGAATCTTAATATTTTGAAAAGGCCCAGGTGGTCTTTCCACATGTGGGCTGGATGGGCATGTATTTTTACAGATAGGAATTATATCTTCAAGGGGACCGGTAATGTGCATATAGGTAACGCACACACACTTTCTGTTGTGTGCCATGACCACTGGATGTGAAACACCACAAAGAATTTTCACTGGTGTAATAAGATATTTACAATTAATGGTATGTGAGGTCAGCTTTGGCTTATTAGATGTTCAGATGTGACAGAGAGCCTTCATCGGTTCTGTTTTCTTGGTGAACACAGGAGGAGGAATGTGAGGTGGAAGTTATTTCTGAGAGTAGATACCTGAAAGCGTCAAAGTTATGTGTATGGCAATTGTCCTTAGCTTGAGAGCATCCAAATATCATTTTGAATAAAATCTAAAACAAGGTGGCAAAGTCGAACTGAATCATTTTCCAAAAAAAAAAGAACCAGTTAGATGAAACCCTTACGCACCCTAGAAATAATTCCTGACACTGTTTCTTTACATTTTTGGTTGTCAGTTTCAACTATGTTAATGTTTCTTATTATGTGTTAAACACAACTAGAGAAAACAGAATTTCCTTTACTTATCAAAAGCTCGGGAAGCCAATTTTCCTGCTACAGTGGGTCCCATTACGATACTACATGCTAACCTCTTGAAATCTTTTAATATTTAAACATTTGCAAAGCGACCAGACTCTGAAAAAAATTTTACAGAAATACTAATTTCTCTTTTTTTAAATATTAAAAGTTGGATCATAAATATTTAAAACTTTTTTCCCCACCACACTGGATTGGTCTTTTAGATAAATACAGCACAGAACTTGACTGGCCATAATGAATATTAAATCTCACAATGCTACAGTCCTGATTACAAATATTCTTTTCTGATAAATGATTCCTGTTCTGTGGAAACAGGGCAGACATGGGCAAGATTAATAATGCAAAAAAAGAAAAATGCTTTGTTCAGGATATTCAGTAACAGATGCCAACAAAAGCATAAGCTCCAAAGAAAATAGTAATCACCACTAACAGATTATATATAAAAAAGGTAGGCTGTTGGGGAACATTTAGAGATAGCTTTTGTCATAGAAACATGGAAAGCATGTGTGCTATAAAGCAAAAACATATGTATGTTGTCAATAGCAGCACCTGCTCAATTACGGTTTATTTCAGAGCTGAGAATTCTATTCAGCCCCTAGATGGCAATACTATCAAACACTTTTGGTAACATGAGTACTTAATGATTAACAACCGGCATTCAGTCACCCAACACACTCCAGGCAACCATTAAAAAAATAACAAAACTGATTTCATTATAGATTCTTTTAATAAACATTTACAGCTCAGATACTCAGAAAGCAGAAGTATTCAAAATACACTGGCCTCAAAACCTTTATCATCTAATGTAGAAAAACGACCTGCAGATTTCAAGTTGAAGTTCGTGCATGCCTGGCACAGAAATGTTTAGAGGTCTGCTCCTGCAAAAGGTGATTACAACAGTTGTCACGCTTACTTTGGTCTATATCTTGAGAGAAAAAAAATCTATCACATGTTGTAAGTGGGAAGGAAATGTAGAGGAGAATTTTTATATCATAAATTTGTACTGAGGGCAGGTTCCCATCTGTTGTTAATGTGTTATTTCTGAAGAGCTACACCACACACACACACACACACACACACACTAAACCTCATTGCTTTTTTGTCAATGATTAGGAAAGACCATATGAAAAAATTGAAGAAAATTTTTAGGCGGTAAGACAATCCTCACCAATTTATTCTTCAACATTTTAGGAAATTATTCCCTCCTCAGTGGAATTCTAACACCAAAGTTCACTATTTTAGATGAATCCTGCTGTAAAACTTGGGCACAGCTCATTCTTGAATTGAGTTCTGTCTTGTTAGTTTCTTCAGTTACCTGTTATTTTCCTTAAATTCAGAATATTTGCTTATGCACCATGGGTCTTAAATGAATTGGGTTAAATCCCTTCCTTTGAGAATGTAACATTCTGTCTCCCTGATGCGTCAAGGTCATCATTAAAACCATTTTCTTCCTTTTTGCTCCTCTGGTCCCCATTTCTTCCTTTCCCCACAGAGATGATCTCCATTTAGTTCCCTCCTTCCTCTCCATTGTCATTATTTGCTCAGTTTTTCTCTTCACTCTTCTGTCCTACTGATTCGTGTGAGATATATTTTTGTTATCCCTGACCTCTGGGCTACCAACTTGCACTGGCTTTCCTTTTGTCCTGCTCCTTTCCATGTCTGCATCCACATAATATTAATACTCTTTATGCCAGACGAATATTAACTTCTTTTGTTAGGCAGCAGATAAGAAGAATGACTCAACAAAGGAAAACTGGAATAGTCCATTCTCCACAATCTAATATTTCCAATGAGACTTAGCCTTTAAAAGAAAAAAAAAAGCTTATATGCATGAGGGTCAGAGTCAGGATACAAATCAGTGCATCCTTTTATGAGACATAAAGACACGACTCTGTGGAACATTCAGCTAGTTGAGGTTCTGCTGGCAATTTGAGTTACATTTTAACCTCTCAACTCTGCTCCTGGGGGCACATGAAACTACTTGGAGTCTTCAGCAGTCTGACAATTTTACACCATCTCCTCTGATTATTTTTGACGACTTGAAGTGCCCCAAAGGTGGCCATGGGGTCAATAGGTTTATGTAGGTTGAAAATGATAAAAAATTACCATTGATCTGTAGCTGTCAATAAAAGGCTGCATGGGGGGACTCCCTGCACAAATGTTTAAACTGCATGAAGTGACCTAACTTAGTCATCTTTGCGTCTATTGATTTGATGATCCAGCAGTTTCCAGAGCTTTCCCTCTAGTCTTTGTGGTACATTTTCACCCAAACCACTTACCTTGGCCCTTAGGAATCCTTTTTTACCTTGCTCCTGGTAATGCACCCAAGCAGTGATGTATAGGCACTGTTGCTCATCTTTGAAGTATTATGTGTGCTTATTATGTTTTGGAAGAGGTTAATCTTCCTGATCACTATCAAGTTCATTCCCAGCCGATGGGGCTTCTTCTCTCTTTTCCCTCATAACGGGCTTGTCCTTTTTAAGCGGATGACTTTTGGTTTATAAATCCTACCCTGGCTGCAGAATTCCTTTGCTTCCTTTGTTATCAAGAATGCCAAGACCCAGAGAATACGTCACATCAAAAGTGTGACTTTTTTGTGCACAGAGGAATCTAGATTTAAATATATGTACTCTGTCTTTTTTAGTTGAACCATTTGACTGCTACTTCTTGGTTTTATCCTTATTAAGGTAAATTATTATTTACCTTGCCATAATGATAAAGGAAAGGTTATGGACAAGTTTCTGGTCTAGATGACAAATAAAACATGAGAAGTAGGAAAAGCTCTTATTTACCACTTCCTAAAAGTCATGGCTTTGGAAGGATGACATCGAGTCAACTGGCTGACTTTTATACATTTTAAAGCTGAAAGATCAACATAAAATATTTTACTAAATTTCTGAAAGTCAGACAGTTCGAGGCATGCGTTCTGTGGTCTTTCTTCCTTTCAATATATAAAGCCAATTTTTGAGGTATCCAAAGGTTAATCAACATATTTATATCTTGCACTTATTTTGTAAAAAACAAATCAGTCTTGATACAGAAGTGATCTCTCTATCACCCCTAGCCACATAGCAACCTTGAGTACCTACTTACCTAAGCGTGAGACTTCCCAGTCTGTCAAATGCGAAATAGAAAATTTCCACTGATTTCACAAGTGTACTACTTTACCAGTGCCATCTCCGCCTACATATCTACGAGCAGTGGGACAAAGACCTTTTTGACGGCACACACATACATACATGCAGGGCGGCTCCAGAATCAGACTGGCTCATAATATCAGAAAGCTAGGAGAAAATACCCTTTAGGTTCATGGTCTATTGTTTTTATGGGGACGAAATGTGTGCCAATGTTAAGTGGCATGGCAGTGCTGCCAAAATGATAAGTGGCAACATTTAGAATTGTTGGTCAGCAGCTCCATGCAATTCTTTAAGTGCTTTTGAGCCACTGGTATGTACAAGATTCCATAAAGTTGCTGTGCGGGATAAAAGATGGATAGCACCGGCCCGTGACTCTTATCAATTCAAAATCTAGTAGAGCAGGTCATTCCTGTATGTAGATGCACATGATTCTGAATCTGGCAAGTGCTAGACCTGAGTGCCAAGGAA